CGCCGCCGCCCCGGGCTCCGCGCTGCTGCCCGCCCGCCCGCTGCTGTCGCTCGGGCTGCTGCAGCTGATCCTGGGCTGCTGCATGGTGGCGCTCAGCTTCGGGGCGCTGTCGCTGAGCAGCTCTCCGCAGGTGAAGAACTCCTGTCCGTTCTGGGCCGGCTCCTCGGTGAGTACCCCGCGTGCGTCCCGCTTGCCTCGGCAAGGGCTAGGGGACTCTGACCAGGACACCCCTCCCTTCGTTCCACTTGGGGACCCGCAGGCCCCTTAAAGTTTTCGGAGCGTGGAGAGTAGAGAAATATGCACGGAGACAGTCAAGTTAGAGGGGGAATTGAGTTGCACCTGGACAGTGTCTGTTCTTTGCATGCTAAAGGATTTTATTGTCCCTGTCAAGCTGATATTGTAAAACAAACATATCCAGCTCCTGGGGGAAAGGGAAGGATGGGGGCGCACGGCGTGAAAGGGGAGGAAGATGGTTAAAAACTTTTGTGGCTCTCCAGTACTTACTGTGCTGACAGAGTCAGCTCCAGGAGGGAGGGCCAGGGTTTGGATCTGTTTTGTCCCCTGATATATCAACAGTTCCTGGCACATAGGGGGTATATTTGTGGGGTGGACGGACCGACAGGTGGACTGGGGCGCGTCATTTGTTTTTATTCCTCATTAAAACACGCATGAATGTGAAGTGTACGTGGCGCTGGATGGCTTGGCTGTATTTGGACAGAGTTCAGAGGTAATGAGAGGTATGTGTAAGTAACTGCCTACTTGTACCTCGTCATTAAAGGAGCCCCGGCCCCACCTCCAGTGGGTTCCTGGGGCCTTGCAGGCTGCTGTGCAGAATTTGAGTCCAGAAACAGAACCTGGCATTATGGGTGAGCTTGGTAGAGCTCCAGCGACTGCTGGGCAGCTACCCAGAGATGTCAGCCCTCTCCAGAACCCAGTCCTGCTTCTGTGTCCAGTCGGGAAGGCTGACCCTGGGGGGTGCTGCCAGTCAGCAAGCATCTGTGGGCCCTGGATGGCCGCTTGTTTCAGAACTTGCAAGGCGTCCAACCCCTTGAGCTTGCGGAGAGGGTTGAGAGACTCAGAAGCAGGGCTTCGTGGAATGATTGTGGAAGATGAATGCAGGAAATGATCTTTCTGTGAACTAATAAAATCTAAAAGTCTGGCAGTGCCCTTGGTTTTTATTAAGATCTGCACTGAGTGTGTGTCCGGTGGAAACTCCTTTTGCAGGTTCACATATACCCCAGTTCGAGATCAAATTATAAGACTGTAGGAAGAATGATTGAACCTGTTGTGATTGTTTGAATAACATTAGGTTCCACAAGCCTAACCTGGAATTTTACCCCGAAACCAGTACCACTTGCGCTTCTTTTGAAATACTCTGGTGTTGGATAAACCTGGTGAGGTACTTCCTGTGCTGTGGTGAGAAAAGTTCAGTGTGTGCGCCAGGTAGACAAAGTCCCAGCCTGGTGGCCCTGCCCCTGGACAACACCGCTGTCCTCTGAGTTCTGGGAAAACCCGCAAAGGATGGGTATCCCGGACAGGCTAGGAACGAGATCCATTATGCTGTCTCCTCCACGTGTTTGCCTACATGTAGCCAAATGGTGGCTGCATTTTAGTTTCTGTAAATACCACAGGCCACAGTCTTGCCTATATTTTTTTAGGATTTGCTCTTTGTAAAATCATAATCTATTGTTTTTTTAAAGATAGCTAGCTTAGGGTTATTAAAAACAATTTTTCTCTTCTAAAATAAACTCTGAGGTCATTGTACTATTGTGAATTATTTCAGAGGTAAATAAATGCACTGAGATGTCATTTAAGCCTAAATTGGACATGATGAGGTATAAAACAAAGGCTGTCAACCAGAAGGTGAAGGCTAATACCCTGAGCTCCCTGGCCGGGCATAGTCTTGTCCCCAAGCCAGAGCAAACCAGAGCAGGGAAGGAATCAGGGGTTTGGAACTGAGAAGCCGCATCTGTGTGCAACCCTGTGACGGTAGGTTATTCTTAACTTTTCTGTGACCTGTTCCTGAGGTTGACCTCCGAATTTGCAAATTGATGTTGGGCCTGGTAACACAAGGCTGTAATTCCAGTACTGGGGAGGTTGAGGCCAGAGGATTGCTGTGAGGTCAAGACCAGCCGGGGCTACATCCTACTGAATTTGTTCAAGGCCAACCTGAACTACATAGTGAGTTTAGGCACCAAGATCTCCTCATGCACTTAATCGGTGAGAAGTTTTAAAAAACACTATATTGTGGAAAAATTTAGATTTACACCAATACTGTGCAATGAACTCACACATACCTTTCACTCCAAGTTTACCATGGTTTCGTCTGTGTGTTCTGATAGACGCCAGAGCGTAGGTATTCCAAGCAGGGTAGGAGTTAAATCCTCCATGTTCTCTGGTTCATTTGTCAGATTAAATTCCCTTATTATTTTGAAGTAAGTCTCAGGCATCACATTCTTTTATGTGTAAATGTTTCAACGTGTGTATTATTTAAAAAGAAGATGCATCCAGCATGGAGACAGAGTGTGGAAGTGACCAGGAAATCTTTAAGGACCTCCTTCCACTTTTAACATTTCATTATAAACATTTTAACATCTCAACAAATACAGAAAGAAGCATGTAATGACTCTCCCTTTTACCTAGCCCTTCCTTCAGTAGCTGTCAAGATCAGGTCACTTTATACTTGGTATCACTCTGCCTTCATCCACACTGTATTATTTTGAGGCAAATTCCAGATAGCATAACTTCAGCTATTAAGTGTTTTAGTGTGTATTTCTGACAGAAGGGCCTTTATAGCACATTGCAGCTAATCTAGAGATAGCTTAACCATGGCTTTATGGAAAATGAAAAGCCAAACAGTTGTGACTTGTGGACTCTACTGAAATTCAAAAATACCTATATAATTCATGTATTTAGCGAATACCATTCATGTGTTTTTTGATACATATACAGTTGTACAGTCATGATCACAGTCAGTTTTGGAAAATTTTCATCACCATATAAAGGTGTTAGCATTCTTCTTCTGCCCCTCACTTCTGTCCAGGAGCTGCTGATTAACCAGCTTTCTTTCTTTTTTTTTTTTTTTTTCTTTGGTTTTTCTCTGGTACCAGGAACCGAACTCACGACCTTGCGCTTGCCAGGCAGGCGCTTTGCTGCTGAGCTAAATCCCCAGCCCCTAACCAGCTTTCTATTCCTATAGGTTTGTCTATAAATGGGATCATGTAATATGTGGTCTTTTATGGTTGACTTCTTTCACTTAGCATGTTTTCAAGGTTCATCCAGGCTGTGGCATTTATCAGTACTTTATTACTTTTAGTTACAGAGTGGTTCCATTTTATGAGCATACCATGTTCCTGGTCTCCCCCAGCCCCTGAGAGCACTGTAAAACTGAGCTACGCCCCAGCCCGGCTGGGACGTTTTATTAGCATATGAAACTAAGGCGTTGAGTGAAAAGTGCCAACTTAAGTCTAACGTTACTTCAAGCCCTCACAGGAGCACAGTGGAAGAATATCCTCAAATTTCAAGCTTTGAATGACCATAATGTACTTTATGTGCTGCTAAATCAGCCACACTGGTAAATCTTTTGGTTTGGGCAAAAATATTGGTTATGTTTGTGATACCAAATTAAGTGCAAGGGATACACGTATTCATTTGAAAATACTGTTTTGTTAAGCAGCCATAGTTCGAGGACATTTTTCCATGTATTCCCATATAAGAGTTCTCACTCTGAGACATAAACTTTTGAGGCTTCTTTCACCGTCAGAACCCTGAAGGATTATTTTATCTCTTTAAAAAACACATGTACGAATTAACAGGTCTTAGAATCTTTCCCATACCATACATTCATATTTTCAGCAAATTGAAGGGAACATTTTTAATGTACTTTTTGTTTTTTGAGCACTCTGTGATCATTTATTTTCTGGCTGGTATCTTTGGTTAATGACTCAATATATTATTATTCCCAACATTCATGATGCTAAGAGAACTTGAAACAACCTGAAGTTGGTGAGTGCCCGAGGCAGGATCTCAGTACCTGTGTTTGGGTCATGTTGACCTGGATCTTAACTGTGGGGAGTGTCATTTATTTAATAGGAATTTGATTCTTCAGATTATGGGAGACCCTGCCTACCACACTGAGCTGAGTTTAAAGAGTAGAGAGAGTTGTATCCGTCTATCTTTTCTACTTCAGAAAAACAAAATTTCTGATTTTGTTAACATGTATGGGAGAACATTCTGGCAGTTGGCAGAGAATTGGTTATGGCTTTTTGTTCTTCTCAGGATATCCTTTATCATCTGCACACAGTTTTTCTCTCTGCTTTACATCAGTGATTTGGAGTCTAATAACTGCTCTTCTGAGTCCATGATTCCTTGGTAAGATTCTGTTTTCTGTTTTTGTTTTTTTTTGTTTTTTCTCCGGTACCGGGAACCGAACTCACGACCTTGCGCATGCCAGGCAGGCGGTTTGCCGCTGAGCTAAATCCCCAGCCCCAAGATTCTGTTTTCTTATGAAGAGACAGACACTCATGACCTTAAAGTAAACTTTAAAAAAAATTTGCAAAGACCAAACATAAACAAGAATGGATGACCTGGGCCGAGGATACAGCTCAGCGGCAGGGCACCTGCTTGGCAAGTGCAAGGTCCTCAGTTCGAATCTCTATACCAAAAAAAAAAAAAGAATGGATGACCTAAGGAAAAAACTAAGGGAAAATACTGAAGTCTTTACCAGTTAAACTGTAGTAAATATATATTTTTCTCTGTCATACCCATCAAATACTACTTCAGTATTTAAGGGACATTAGAAATATAATTTTTTGGTAATGAATTAATTGATTTTTTAATTCCTGTATTTTATATGACAGCAGAGTCACAGTTATAAGTTCTGTGCCTTAAGGAAGACATTGAGCTTGCTTATCGAGTGGGGTGACTCTTGCCTTGGGGCTAATTTGGGAAAGGTATAAATAGAGAACAGCATTTGCTAATTAACGCCAGCACCAGGCCTGGCACATACTAGAACGCTTTCAGTGTTTTTTAAACACCAACGCAATATGAAATCAAAGTAAAGTGAATAGGCTGTTTATTTGTTTTGCAGGGCATTGTGGTAACGATCATGTGTACATTAGAAATAGCCAGTTGCCCACTTGCTCAGTTTTTTTTGTTTGTTTTTTTTGTTTTTTTGGTTTGTTTTTGTTTTTGTTTTTTTCTGGTACGGGGAATCGAACTTACGACCTTGGGCTTGCCAGGCAGGTGCTGTGCCGCTGAGCTAAATCCCCAGCCCCTAGCTCAGTTTTTTAAGTGAATCATGCTAGATAGAAAAGGAAGAACCTCCTTCTCTCTCTGTCTCTGTCTCTGTCTCTCTCTCTCTCTCTCTCTCTGTCTCCCCGGCTGGAAGACACAAACACACACACACACTTTCCACAATTGCCATTGTAAAAATTGTTGGGCAAGATACATTGCTGAGAGATTTGATCATTTTCTTTGGTGCTTATTTATAAGGTAAACATGGGACATTTACAGTGTAATTTTTTTTTAAAAGTCTGTTTAGATGTAGTAGCTTTTGACAAATGATGCGGAACGTTTTTTGTCCTAGGGCTTGTTAATGGATTAGCAAAAAAAATAGGGCAGTAGAATTATAAGCTTTTGATCTTCATGACTTGATTTTAAGCTGTGAAAATACGGCACAGTGGCCCTACGTGGTGGGTAACACTGACTCTTGCCTGGAGCATCTCGGAGGCCACCTTTGCTTTATCAGAAAGAAGGTCTCTATTTTTTACAATAAGCTACAAGGAATGGTTACAAGTATGTAAAATAAAAATTTTAACAAATCTCATTCCAATAATGTAGAGAGAGTTTGATGTTGGAAAATAGGTTCTTGTCTGTTTATTCAGGGAAAATTGCATCTTGTGCTGGGTGGGATGAATGCTGATAGAGTTGCTTTCTACTGCTGGTGTACTCTTGCAGAAGATACAGGGTGTGAAAGTGTGCTTAGGCTTACACGGTCATCTTTAAGCAAGCTCATCTCCTGTTTCTGGTCTGCATCCATTCATTCACTGGCTGTTGCCCTTACTAACTGTCTCCTAGGAGCTTGGGTGGTACTTGAGTGAGGACTTGCAGGTCTAAGCCCTCATGACATAAAGAAGCAGTGTTGGTGTTGCGGCCCAACGCGAGCCATGAAAGGCCACTGCTAAGGGACCTTCTTAGTTTCTTCTGATGGAGCTCCAGCCAGTACTGCCATCGGAGAGTGAGAGGTACTGAGGACTCTGCTTTTTCCTTTTGCTCTTCCCCAACCTCTCTCCCCATCCATGACTCCATTTCTTCTTTAGAAGAAGTGTGAGCGTCCATCCCTTAAGTCTTGAGCTTTTCATTCAAACCTGCAGTACCTCTGTTCCCACCACCATTCCAGAGGCTTCTCATCTTCCAGCTGTGTTCCCGTGTCTGTCCGTCTCCCCCTAACTGGTCCCTGGGCTCCCCCAGTGCCTTGGGGATTCATTGAGCTTGAAAGAGGGAGGAAGTAGGTGGAAGTCAGTGTGTCGTGCCTTTGTTGCAGGCTTCCAGATGGAGAAGGATGTGGCTGTAGCTCCCATCTGGAGCTGGATGTGGTTTCTTACAGGATCTTAGAAGGAAGGGCAGTGGACACGAATCATGAATTCAGCTCGAGTGTACACTGAGTCTGGGAGACACTTTAAATGGAAATGATGTCATCGAATAGTTTGCCTTTCAATCTATGAACGTGGTGTATGTTTTGTCTCCTTTGGGCCTTTGTTTAATATTGCTGTATAAGCTTTGTATTTTCCCTCATTGAGGACATAAGTTGTTATATATATATATGGATCACTGATACTTCTTATCTAGCATTCATTTTGTAATTTTTTCTTTCTTTTGTTTTTTTTAAAATGAGGATTGAACCAAGGGCTTTTGCGTTGAGCCGTATCCCCAGCCCTTTTGTGTAGTTTTAAATTTTGAGACATGGTCTCACTAAGTCACTGAACTGCCCCAGATAGGCTCTAATTTACGATCTTCCTGCCTCAACCTCCCAGAGTACTGGGATTATAGTCATACACCACCATGCCCAGCAATTTTGTATATATATTTTAAAATGCCACCCCCAAAGGAAAAATAAAAAGATAGCATAGATCTTTTGCCAAAGAAAACCTTCACTTGAAATGATAGTACTGTCTGTTGTGATCTATTAAAATAAAAAATAGGAAAACCTTTCAAGCTAACAAGCCTAGGTTTATCCAACAGAAGCCATAGAAGCAAAGTTCTTGTTTTTAAAGATAAATATTCATGGATGTTTACTGCATCATGGTTGCGAGTGCAAAACACTGGAAAGAGAATGAGCACCTGTGCGTGTGCAAATGATCAGATGCATCAGGTCCGCCCATGCAGTGGGATACTGTGTATCCTTAGACTGAAATGAATTACAGCCATTCCAGGGGACTTTAAGAGGTTTCCAGGAAGTACTTATTGAGAAGAAGAAGAGGCAGGGAAAGTATATCTTCTAGGGTGCATTTTGTTTTGTTTTGTTTTGTTTTTTGGTTTTTCTCCGGTACCGGGAACCGAACTCATGACCTTGCGCTTGCCGGGCAGGCACTTTTGCCGCTGAGCTAAATCCCCAGCCCCTTAGGGTGCATTTTTTAATAAAGCACACACCTCTGTACATAAATTGTGGATGTGGAGGAGGGTGAGGGTGTCGCTGAGGGGAGAGTGGAAGGTACAGCTTAGGCACATCGCTATTCTGTGAGCTTTTATGGGTTGAGCTGAACACTTCACCTTAATTATATTGTTCTAGTGGAAAAAATAATGGTCCTAAAAGCTGAACCATGGAGGTTGATATTAAGGGAGACCAGGGATATAAGTAACAAACATCAAGGGATAATTCAAAACATACTTACGTTTATTATTATTATTTACTGGAGTAAGCAGTCAGTGCTTTCCTTAAGGGCATGCCAGTTTTATGTCCCGTTTTTCCAAGCACAGCTCGCGTTTCTAGGTGGCAGCTCGAGTTCCTAGTAAGCAGCAGGGTGGGCAGGCAGGAAGTGCGTGCAGGTGGACACAGACATGGGCACGCGCATGCACTTGCCGGCACCCTGGACCTTGGGGCTCCTGCAGACATATTGCCATCGAAGGGATTCAGCTTTGAGTAGAAGAGGGTGTAGTTTGCCTACTTACAACATTTCTCAGTAAACCGAAGTGAGGGCCTGAGAAGAGGAATGACTTGGTGGAGAGCGAGTCCCTGATCCTTTGAAAGCTGAGCGAGAGCCTGCAGCCCCGGGTGTCACGGATTGAGGTTCCACTGTGTAAAGTAGACACAGCCCCCACACCCAGGGTGAGCCATACTCGCCCAGAGTGTCTCCAGGCAGAAATGGGCAAGGAGGAGGCAGTATGCTGTTGGAATTAAGGGACTGCAAGAATACGGTGCCTGGTAAGCAGATCACTAGTAGCATGTGTAAACACAGATGGGACACAAAGAAATTGTCACTACCTAGCTGGACCTGCTTTTCAGTCCTTGGCAGGGGGGCAGATTTATCCTCTTTTGGTTTGATGCTGTAGAATGAGTTGCTCTCAGTGAAAACAGGGTATTGCAAGCTGGCCTGTGTGCTTTGAATTTGAGGTGACCCTGTAAACTCCATACTGACTTAGAGCTAATAAACGGTGATTGTGAGCGGGAGGGATTTTGGCAAGTAAAACGTACACATGAAGGAAAACCCTCATCACTGCATTCAGCAGAGGCACCTTATTACGCAAAGGTAAATCTTTATTACACAAAGGTAAATCTTTATTACACAAAGGTAACTGTTCCCAGGTGGCATGAAGATCTCTCTGGAGTGAACAGTTAACTTTATTTTTCCCAGTGGCTTAGTGAATTGTGTTATCCCAAAGGCTGCCTTTGATTTCCGTTCAATGTTTTGGCAACATGCTGATTCTTCTTTACTGAACTTTTAACTTGTTGTTTATTCAAGTGTCATTTTACAACATATCTTTGTACTGTAGCTCCTCCCCATTTGCAGAATAAATGCTTAGGAACATGCACCAGTTGTCAGCCATGTGACAGGCACTGTGCTTACAGCTTAGGGTGTCAGAGACAAGAAAAGAGTTTATTGGCTGGGTGTGGTGGCGCATGCCTGTAATCCTAGCACTCGGGAGGCTGAGGCAGGAGGATCGTTGCAAGTTCCAGGCCAGCTTGGGCTACAAAGTGAGCTCAAGGTCGCCTGAACTGCATACAAGACCCTGTCTCAAAAAGACAAAAGAATAAAAAAAGAGAAAAGAGTTTATTGTAGACAATGCAGAGATGCACCCCTCAAATTAGTACAACAGAGAAGATTTTTTAAAATAGTTATGTACAGAGGACTTCCCGGGGTATGGGCTGGTAGGAACAGGGAAGGCTTCTCAGGTTACTGTGAGTTGGGGCCTTGTAGGATGAATGTGGGGGCCGGCGGGAGGAGAGGGCACTGTGGCAAGGGGAGGAGGCACAGCCCAGGACCTGGCTGGACGGCGGAAGCACAGGTGCGCTTAGGATGAAGGCATGTGGTGGATGTGAGCAGTACATGAAACCCAGGCCTGGGACATGGGCGAGCGGAGGTTCCGAGGGTCCTGTCTACCATTTGGATGAGTTTTCCTGTCTCGAAAGGGAACCCATGAGGGAGAGGTAGAGCCAGAAGTGCCCCTTACTACGCGACTCTGGTAGCCGGCCGAATGAGTACTACTGGAAGCAGGGCGCTTGAGCGGAAATTGCTCTTCTGACCAGAAGGAGAGGCTAATTTCTGTTGATGTGTTCCTAATTGACATTAAAAGATACACAAGTCGATGAAAAAGCTTTGTGGGCTTGAAAGTGAAAGATAGTCCAAAGTGGCCTATCATGGTTCACAAGCAGTATTATTAAATTCTTGATTTAAAATGCTTTGAAATTTTAGTATTTTAAAAATTCCTACTTTTGAGACTGAGAATTAGTTTTTTGGAATTGGTCTATTTTTCTAAGCCAATGATACTTTTTTATCCTTACAGGTGATACTCTCTGGAATCATAGGATTAACAACTTGGAAAAGGCCCATGATACTGCTGGTATGTGCCGGTACTATAACTTGTTACCCATTATAAAATGTGCTACATATGACGTCTTTTTTCAAATAACCATTGAAGGAATATTTCAGCTTTCTTGTTCATTAAACACTACAGTAGTAAAAGTCGGATTTTTTAAACAAAATACGATGATAGTTTTGTTGATTTGCTGATTCACTTTAAGCTTTTGATATACTCTGTGCTATACTTGCGTTTCTAGTTCAGGAATTCGATTCACTCTAAAGGAAGGATTTTTAAAAAATTGTTGACTATGGATAGTTTTAAACGGACTTCAAAGTGGAAGGAACGATGTAGTGAACTCTCTGTACCCCTCAGCAGCTTCAAAACTCCTTAACTTACAGCCCATCTTGTCTTGTTCCACTATTTCCTCCACCTCCATATTCTGTTTTTCTTTATTATTTGGAAGAAAATCTCGCATATTAATCACAAATATGTGACTTTTTATTGTCAGAGCATTTTAGTTGGACAACCTCAGAATTTTGTTTAGACCCACTGTGTTGTATCTTTGTCGTATAAATATTGTATTTTTCAGATAATATAGAGATATACTAGTCACTTTGTTCTTTGTTTTTATTGAGGTAAATTCATATCACCAAATGAACCATTTTAAAATGTACAATTCAGTGGCATTGAGCCCATTCACAATTTCTTATCCTATTTTTCAGAATCTACTGCAAAAATAGAAAATTGCCGATGGCATTTGTTCATCTTTCTAGGAAATTCATTTTGAATTAAAGTATACTTAAATTTTTCTATGTAAAATAGCCTTCTCTTTTTCTGCCATTGATTGTGAAAAGAGGTTACCCATCGTCATTTTGTTGTGTGTGTGTGTGTATGTTCATTTTAAACAGAACACAATTTCCTAGGCTATGTGTAATAAAAACAAAAACACAAGCACAAAGAGAAGAATCACCTTGCAGATTTTATAAAATATCCAAATTGTGAATCTCAATACTGGATTGATGTCTTTTTTTTTTTGTCTTTTTGAGACAGGCTCTCGCTATTCGGTTCAGGCTGACCTTGAGCTCACTTTGTAGCCCAGGCTGGCCTTAAATTTGCAACGATCCTTCTGCCTCAGCCTCCCGAGTGCTGGGATTACAGGTGTGTGTCATCACACCCGGCTGGATTGATGTCTTGAAACACTTAAATAAAATGCTATTCAACTCCACAGAGTGACGTAGGCAGCACTTTACAACTCCATCAATTGTTGCATTTAGTGAAACTTCTTTAATTTATTTGGAAGGTGTAAGTTCTCAATATAGCATTTGAATGCTTAGAGAACGGGGTAAGAGAAAATGAGGATTTGGGTAAGCTTTATGGTCTATTTTATAAGACAGGATTGTTTTGTCACAATTGTCTAGAGTTATATTTTCTGCAGAAAAATTTTGGATCATGTTTAATATTTGGTTGTAGGAATTGCCTTTTCCTATTGGGTCAGTATTAAAATGCTTGAGTATTTTTTTTTAGGGGGGCGTTTTCTGGTACCGTAATTGAACTCATGATCTCACGCTTGCCAGGCAGACGCTGTGCCACTGAGCTAAATCCTTTTCGTTTAATGTACTTTTTGTTTTTTGAGCACTCTGTGATCATTTATTTTCAAATAACCATTGAAGGAATATTTCATTAAACACTACAGTAGTAGTGTAGAATTAAAGTATAGTAGTCTAGAGTTAAAGTATACTTAAATTTTTCTATGTAAAAGAGCCTTCTCTTTTTCTGCCATTGATTGTGAAAAGAGGTTACCCATAGTCATTGTTACCCATACTCAATGCTTGAGTATTTAAATTAAGTTAAATTTAAATTAAGTTAAAATAAGGGTTACCCATACTCAATGCTTGAGTATTTAAATTAAGTTAAAATAAGAAAATCTCTGATGACATTTGTATTCTGAAGATTGCTACTGATTAAAGAATATGAGTATGTGATCTGGTAGATTTTTAAGACATTTATTTCTCTAATGTTATTTTCTCTAATATTATTTTCTTTCTGAAAAGTACCTTATATATTTATTATGTGGATTTAAGCAGCTTTAAGTGAAAATGAAGTGAAAAGTACCTTATATATTTATTATGTGGATTTAAGCAGCTTTAAGTGAAAATGAAGTGAAAAGTACCTTATATATTTATTATGTGGATTTAAGCAGCTTTAAGTGAAAATTTTTTTGTCCTTTATTTTTTGTTTTGTTTTTGTTTTTGAGACAGAGTCTTGCTATGCAGTTCAGGCTGGCCTTGAGCTCACTTTGTAGCCCAGGCTGGTCTCGAACTCACAATGATCCTCCTGCCTCAGCCTCCTGAGTGCTGGGATTACAGGCATGCACCACCACGCCCAGCTAAGATATATTTCTTACCTTTCAATTTCTTCTCATCTTTGTTGAAGAGTATATGTACTTTGCCGCACAGCTATAGCCAGTATGTACAGACTATGTTGTGTTTTGATTTTTCTATTTAATATTAAAGTAGTATCAGCTAGTTTTTTTATGTATGAGTCTGAATGCTTAGCATTTAAAATTTCTGAGCAGCCTTCCATTTTATTTATGTATCTTTATCACTTTTTATCCTGTTGGGCATTTGAGCTTTTATATTTTTGACTGCTATGAACTATGTACTGAGAAATTTATATTGGGATTGTTTTAAAATATTAGCGTCAATTTATAAAGAAGATAAATTAAGTTTTAGGAATTCTACTAGGAAAATTTTTCTGAGTCTCTCAGTAGATCATCTGAGCCTTAGTCAATATCATGCATCAAAAATGCTCAGTTCGCATGAATCTTTGATCCATCATGTGCGGTGAAAGTAGAAGGGCAATTATCCTTAGGTAAGAGAAAGGGAAAGCGGGAATGAAGAGGATAGATATGATCAAAGTATGTTATATGTGTGTAGGAAAATGAAAAGATTAGTATGGCAAGCAAAAATAGCGCACCATCATAACCTATGCCAAATGCTTTTGTCATGTTAAAAAATGAAAAGAATGTGTGCTAAAATAAAAAAAGTGGATGTCTCAGTCAGATAGTCCTAGTTCATCCCTCTAAGAGCTGCATAACTGTGCAAGCCCCTTACCCTTCTGAGCCTAGTTTTCTGTCTAGAGGGGACAATTGAGTGATATCAGGGGTGGCTCTAACACACCCTCCCTTCGGTGATGTTTCCTTCTTCCCTTCTCTCGCTCCCTCCTGTGACCCCTCTCCTTTGGCTTTCTGAGTTGAGAGGATGTACCAGTGGCTGACTGTTGGTGGGAGACCACGTTCCAGTGGAGAAGCTGGATGGGCCTGATGGGTCTTGCACATCTGGGCTTGGCTAGCCGGAGCTCTGGCCCTCTCCCCTGTACTGTGTGCCATGGGATATCTGCATAGTGTGCATAGGAACCTCTGGTTTAGGACTTGCCTCCCCTAGCTGATTGCATGGCTGGCTCCTTTTCTGGTTCTCAGCTCAGCAATACACCGCAAGAAAGACCAACACTGATACCTTAATCATGGTGGTTCCTGGTCCCAGGACCTGAACGTTCTACCCCAGCCCTGAATTTATTGGCTTCACCATCTTTGTGCCTATATACTGTTGTTCATTACTGGGTGTCCCCTCCGCAGGAGATCGTTCATTCTGTGAGGGCTCTTGCCTTTTCCACACTCTGTCTCTAGGGCTAGAATTCTTGATACACATTTATGATTGACTGTAGAATTAACTTGACAGCTTATAAGAAATTTAGGTCCTGGATGAATCCTCACAGCTTCTCTTTTTAGTTTTATGTTCAGTTTTTCCTCACTTGCTTTTCTTTGTATTCACGCCTGCTGACTTCAGGGTCCTTGGGGGGATCTCTGGGGATGGAGTTGGGAGGGGCCAGGCTGGCTGCTGTCAGGGCCTCTGAGAGGCCTGCTGTCCTCAGCATGAGGTGCTGGGTGCACACTCCATTTGGGGGAATGTACCTCTGCTCCTTCTTTTGTGATTGTTACCGTGATTACATCAGGAGTTTTACTGGTTTGAACAAAGGAGGGTCAGTTTGACCTAGTTCCTTCAAACACAGATTTTCACGGAAACTCAAAGTTGGAAGCTGCAGTCCCTGAATTCTCTTCCTTATACTGATACTCATCTGCTCAGAGCAAAAGTAATTCTATAGGAAATGGTTCATAAGTACTTATAGTGATGACTAGGAGTCAGTTGTGCTTGTGTGCATGTATGTGTGTGTGCATCATTTTAGCTTGTCTGTTTTCCATAAAGAGTAACATTTTCCATTTTTGAAGAATGCTCTTACTTTGTCCAGGCACCATTCCCTTTTCATCCTGACACAATGGTTTGTATTTAGAAAGCAAAGATTATGTGCTGGAAGTGGCCCCAGTGATTTTCTTGGCACTTCAGTTAGAGTGGAATTGTCTTTCTAAGATGTTTTCCTTTGATGGTACATTTAGTAGGGATCAGCACTGTGAAAGCCCACACAGTTCTCTGTCTGTAATTTGAGCTATCGTTACTTACTCTCCTTGTTCAGAACAGAGCAGATGAATACAGTCTTCAGACTGGTAAAAGGACAGCTCTGTTCTTTAGCACTAAGAACGAAGGAGCTGGGTGTGATGGTGCACGCCTGTAATCCCAACCCTTGGGAGACTGAGGCAGAAGGATCTCAAGTACAAGCCCAGCCTGGGTAACTTAGCAACTCGGGGAGACCCTGTCTCAAAGTAACAAATAAGAAACTTGATGTAGCTCAGTGTGAAGGCCCTGGGTTCAAATTCTCAGTACTAAAAAAATAAAATGAAGGTTCTTTCCCTTGACGTTTCTTGAGTCATTTGTGGTTTATTCTCACCTGTGGGTGAGATCAAGGACAGACCAAGACCATCCCAGACCAAGGACAGAAAGAGGGTAAATGCATTGGGTATTAAAAAAATACCCTTCATTTCTAACTTTAGGTTGATAGTGTTTATGTTAAAACCTCATTACCCAAAGAAATTAAAATTGGCTTAAGGTATGCACACCCCCCTTATTAGTCCAAGTAAGCTAGGGTGG